TTATAGGGTTTAGTTATAGGACTCTGTCCTACAGGATCACATGAGTTGGAATCGACTCAGAAGTAACCCACAACCAATCACAGTGCTATCAAACTGCAGAGCCACTGATGGGTTCAAACCACTGAGCTTTTGGTTAGCAACCAAATGCCTTAACCTCTGCACCACCAGAGCTTCTCAAAGGTAATGGATTTGGTTTTTCTGTTTTGGGTTATACCCAGAGACAAACTGTATTCCCCTCAGGCTGCCTTCCATCACCTTCTAGCCCTGCCTCCTTAGTCTATCCCAGGTTAGCCACTTAGTATGTCTTAGTATCCTGGTACTGCTGTACCAGCAATGCAAGCAGGGAGGAGGTAGGGAATAGAACTTTATTTTCTCACAGTTCAGGAGACTGGAGGTTCAAAATTAGGGCCCTGGCTGTAGGGGAAGGCTTGCTCTATTGGCTAGTCCTTGTAGTTTGCTTGATGAGCTTTAAAGTAGCCTCTGCCTTTCCGTTTGTGCTTCTGTGTCTGATGTGCTGTTTTAGTAACTCAGAAGTGGTTAGGACACACTACATGCTCACTTTCAGTGATGTGACCTCATTAACATAACAAAGAAAACCCTATGGCCAAAGGAAATTACTTCCACAGGTGTAGTGGTTAGGGTTCCAACACATATTTTAGGAGTACACAATTCAGCTGGTAACAGTATCTAAAATTTAAAACACTATTACTTATTATAAATATGGTGTACACATTGTGGGTGAAATGAATCATCAAAAAAACTCGTTGCCCTCTAGTTGATTCCAACTCATAGTGATCCTATAGGACAGAGTAGGACTGCCCCTTAAGAGTTTGTAAGACTGTAATCTTCATGGAAGCAGACTGACACATATTTCTTCTACAGAGCGGCTGGTGGGTTCAAACTGCCATCTTTTTGGTTAGCAGCCAAACGTATAACCACTATGCCGCCAGGGCTCCTATATCTAATCATAAAAAGAGTGAAATTCAAAATTAACTGTGTTATTATATGTAAGTGTTATTTATGGTGATCTTTTAGCTATTTCGAATGTCATTTGTAAAATAATCATTTCATAGTAACAGGTTTAGACTTTGTCCTGTAAGGAGTAGATAGTCATTTGCAACTTTTAACCTGAGGAGTGATGTGATCACCAGTTTTTAGAAAGATCACATCCCTATTATAAGAGTTAAGCCAGTTTACTGTGTGGAAATGAGTAGAAACAAGAGAAGCTAGAGGCAGAGGTCTCTGGGGACTTTTAGAATAGTCCAGTTAAGAATGCTAAGGGGCCTGGAGTCTGGCTAAGTAGTGGCATGAGAAAGAAACAAGAGGGGGCTCTGTTTAGGCGTGTTTTAATGGCTGATTAGATGTGGGAGGTGAGGAAGAACAGGAGTCATGAATAGCTCCAGGGTTCCTCTTATAGACAATTTGGTAGTTGGTGATCAAATAAACATCAACATTAAATAGCACAGGCAACTAATTGGTAATACTATCCAATTTTGTAAAGTTTTTGGTTTTTTTTTTCCAGAGGTGAGGGGCTGTTTTCTTTTCTAGTAGAAGTAGATGAAGGTGAAACATTACTTAGCTTGCATAATTCCATGATCCTGATTCCCCATAGAGGAAGCACAGTTGTCATTCCCAAAATAACTTCTAAATGCCAGTTGAGTAATTAGAAACGGAAAGAGACAATATTCTTAGTAAAAGATAATGCCGTCAGTTGTCATCTCTGCAAGTGGGCGCCAACTCACGTCAGCTTTGTACATAACAGAACAAATGTTGCCTGGTACTGTACCACCTTCATGAGTGTTGCTGTATTAGACAGTATTCTGTTGTGATCCATGGGGTTTTCATTGGCTAATGTTTGGAAGTAGATCACCAGGCCTTTCTTCCTAGTCGGCCTTACTCTGGAAGCTCCACTGAAACCAGTCCACCATGGTTGACCCTGCTGGCATTTGAAAACAGCTGAGCTTACAGCATCATAGGAACAAGCAAACCACCACGACAAACTGACATATTCAACTGCCATAGAGTTGATCCCGACTCATAACGACCCCTCCTTGGGTTCCCGGGGCAGTATCACTACAGATGTAGATTACCCAGTCTTCCTTCTGAGGAGTGGCTGGTGGGTTTGAACCACCAGCCTTCTGGTTAGCAGTCATATATATACCTTAGGCACTATGCCACCAGAGCTCCCAACACAGATGATAGCAACTGAAGATAAGATTTAAAAAAGAGCTAATGAGAAATAAAGCTGTTTTCTAACCCAAAAGACTTTATTTCCATTTTCCTAAAATTTATTAAAGTAAATTATATCCCCAAAGTCCTATGCATTTGGTGTCTTTTATTCATACTGAAGATCTTACTTTTAATTATTACTGTATACTTAATTTTAAAACTTACCTGGATTTAGATTTTGTGCACTATTTATATCCAATTTTTGAACTAGAATTTTTTGGTTGTTTTTGAAGTTATTATTATCTGTATTTGCTTTTAAACATTTTATTATACCATCTATCTACTCATATGTTCAGTCCCTTAAACACCATAATGGAGATAACTTAATATTTTCCATATGAAATAGAATATAAAGTATAAGGGTTGTATAGGTAATGTTAAAGATCTCTTCTACCTTTATCATTCTATGATTCAATCAAAATTCTAAAACTTTTCCAATAATTTTATTGTGATAAGATATTTTTAACAGAACGTTTGCCATTTTAACCATTTTTAAGTGTACAATTCTGTGACATTCAGTACATTGACAATGTTGTGGAACCATCAACTACCATCCATTTCCAAATGTTTTTTCATCACCTTCAACAGAAATTCAGTGCCCCTTCAGCATCAACTCTCTTTCCCTTCCCTCAAGCCTTGGGTAACTAATAATAAACCTTTGTCTCTGTGCATATTTGCCTATTCTAAATATTTTACATAAGTGGGATCACTTATTTGTCATTTGAATCTGACTTACTTTACATGGCATTACATTTTCAAGGTTGTGTTAGGATCAGAACTTCATTTCTCATTATTGCTGAATAATAAAAATTTTAAAATTTTTTACGGAGGAACTGGGATGGAGTACATGGGTTTACCTGTAGTCAGGTAACTTTAAAAAAATGGTGCTTTTGAACTATGAATTATTGTATAATTTGCATATCAATTATTCTATTGTTTGCTTTTTAAATTTTTTCTTCTGCAAATTGTTTTTGAAGTGTAGTGAATGCATTTTGTTGCAGTGTCAGTTCTGGAAAACCTTATGTTACTGTTGTTGTTAGGTGCCATTGAGTCAGTTCCTACTCATAGTAACCCTGTGTACAATAGAACAAACCACTGCCTCGTCCTCACAGCACCATCCTCACAGTGCTTGCTATGCGTGAGCCCATCGTTGTAGCCATTGTGTCAATCCATCTTGTTGAGGGTCTTCCCCTTTTTCACTGCCCTCCACTTTACCGAGCGTGATGTCCTTCTCTGGGGACTGGTTCCTTCTGACTGCATGACCAAAATATGAGAGATGAACGAAGGCTAAGGAACATTCAGACTAAAATTAAACTAAAAATATACTAAAATTATAATACGCATTTTTAGTTCCAGCTGGTTTTTAATTGTTATTAGAGGTCTATTTGATTATCAGATTCCTTTGTGGACTCACATAGTGTAGTGAATTTGAGATGATAATGTCATCAATATTGTGAGGAGTCATTTATTGAGAACCATGCTACCATTGAGGTGTTCTTTCTATAAAGCATATATGTCACTGCCTTGACCTCTTGTTTCTCCAAAAGCAGTAATCAAACTTTCTTCCTCGACACTGAATGCAGCAATTTTTAAAATTATTGGCATGATGATGTCAGTATTGTAAACAACATCCTTAAATGTTTTCCAAAGGGAATCTTGTTAACCCAATTGTATCTTTATTGAAATATGTGGAGTGATTGGTAACTTTTGAGCTGTCAGTCTTCTCATGATCTTTTATCTGTTTCATGTAACCAGTCTATCACCTCCTCACCTAAGGTCTCCCCCCATACCCCTTATGAAAAATATTGCCAATGAGTTCAACTTTAAATAAAAAAACACAAAACTGTATACTCAGAGCACAGTAAAAATAATAGTACTTTGCTGTGCATTGATGGGACACTGAAAACTGGTTGAGCATAACTTTGAAACTCCCAGAGCCAGCAAATTCATTTATAATTAGGAATATGTTTCTCTGAAGTCTTAGACTGTGTATGACTCATATCCAAGGCACTCCTTGTGGGGCATCAGAATACCTGGAAGGGTAAATTGGGAATGAGAATGTTGCTAGTGAGCATGGCATCATTTACTTCTGTAAAACTGAGAGAGCTGAAAACTGTGAATTTTTCTACCTCAAATTAGACCACATCACTCCTGTGGACAATGTTAGTGTTTCCCAGCTTCAGTGGTTCTCTCTTGGACAGTGCCGAGGAACCTAGCTCATGCTTTCTTTGGGCATCCCTTTTCTATGTTCACTGATCATCTTCCTTCTCATCACTGCTCTATCTCCAGACATATGCAATGCACCCAGTTTGGTTTCAGTTATAACTACATCCTAGGCCTGCCTTCTTGAGATTATACCAAGGTTGTCTCGATTAAGGTTTGTCTGTGAAATAGTTAATCATACCATAATTTGGATGTTACCAGTTTAGCTTTCAAAGGGTAAGCTCATTTCCCTCTTTCACAAGTTCTTGAGGAGCATTTCAGGAATTTCACTGTCATTTCGATGAGACATCTGTTAATTCATAAAGCTTCCTTGTTTTGACAGACTTCAGGTCACGTATAGACGGTAGCAAATAGTGTTGAAAGAAATTATACAAAGATCATTTAGTAAAAAAAAAAAAAGTTCCTGTATCACAAAATTTAGAAGCATGCAAAAAATTAAAACTAAACTAAATTAATATGTGAGCATTTTAAGTATAGTTTCAGTTTTATCAACATCACATGATTTATTGCTATTAGATTTACTATTTCAGGTTGTGTTTTTCTTTCAGGAAGTTTCAGCTGATCCTACTGGCACACTCACAGCAGCAGAAGAGAGAAAGGAGAAGGTACCGAGCCCACACCTCAGTCAGCTAGTGGTTTTGACATCTGGGGATACATTGTATGGTTTGGCAGAGAGAGTGGTAGCCACAGAATCCTTGTAAGTTGTTAAAAAACAGTTGCTTTGCCATTCAGTATTTAAGAAAGGTTCTGAAAGTAGCATTTTACAGTTAGACTTCCAGATGCATATAGTTAACATTTCTAAATATGTATTTCTGAGAATTATATTCTAAAATAGATTGCTAGTTAATTTTTAAAACTACATGGTTAGCATTCAGTTATGTAAATGGAAAAAAAGAAATCTTTCAAGTTTGAATCTTTAGCAACATGATCCTTGCTTTACTTTACAAAGCACTGTGATATTTCATACTGAGAACTGGTTACAACTGGAAAACTCCGATATGCTTTATATATTCCTGTGAAATTGTAGAGAAATCAGTCACATTATCAGTTAAGTGTAAATATAGTTGATCCTTGACAGCAGCAAGAATACTTCCTGATCTTTATAAATCCTCAAGTTGGATGATATAATTAAAGCATATAACTTCTTCCATAAACTTTGGGCCAATGTGAGTTAAGAGTTTTTGCATATGTAAGAAAAAGCAGAGAAAAACCATGTACCATTGCAGAGCAACTGGCTTATTCACCAGCCAATGACTCCGCTCCTGCACACCAGCTCTACTCATCTATAGTTCGTGTATGGGCTTCAGCTGAATTTACAGTTCACTACATGTTATGAAAGGAGCCCTGGTGGTGCAGTGATTAAGCTCTTGTCTGCTAACGGAAAAGTTGTCAGTTGGAACCCACCAGCCACTCTGCAGCAGAAAAGGCCTGGTGATCTACTCCCACAAAGATTACAGCCTAGGAAACCCTACAGAACAGGTCTGCTCTGTGAGTCAGAATGGGCTTGATGGCACACAGCAGCAACATGTTACGAATGGGTTTCTTTTGAAAAGTGTCAGATGTTAAATCTGTGAATTTCAAGAGTCTGTTGTATATAATTAAATGGAATCTTTAAAAGAAATCCTTTCAAAAGAAATATAGTTGTTTTCTTTCTTTTAAAGAAAGAAATGTTGTCTGGGCATATTTTACACACAAAGCAAGCATAACCCCACACCTTGTGATAACCAGATTAGCTCTTTGAAATCACATTTACTCTTTCACCTTAGTTTCCATTCAGTGATAAGCTCAGCTTTAGTTATTCTGTAGGTTGTAAATGAACACAAGTGTTAGTTTGGAAGCTTGCTAAAGTAGAAAATACTCTTGTTAAAGTTTTGCTTAAAGATATTAAGGATTGCTTATAGAAGACATTTGACAGGCTCTAAATCTTGGACTTTGTTTACACTGTGGTTGATTTATTCTCTGTAGGGTATTCTTGGCTGAACAATTTGAGTTCCTTCAGCCACATCTGGATGCTGTGATGCCTGCAGTGAAAAAACCCTTTCTTCAGCAGTTTTATTCTCAGGTCAGAGTTGGTCTTATGTATAATCTTACAGTGAGCAGTTAGGACTGTCACACGTTACCTGGTAATTTTGCTAGTGGTCAGTGTCCACACTCCAGGACAGTGAATTCAAATGTTTATGTATTCATTAGTGAATTCCCATATTTAGTAAATACTTATTGGATATTGACAACTTTTAGGAGCTCTAGTAGCATAATGCCTAAGGCACTTGACTGCTAACCAGAAGGCTGGTGGTTCAAACCCACCAGCCACTCCTCGGAAGCAAGATGGGGTAATCTACTTCCATAGTGATACTGCCTTGGAAACACAAGGAGGGGTCGCTATGAGTCAGGTCCGACTTGACGGCACGTAACACCAACAACAACACTGACAACTTTTAGTCTATTGAATTACAGCCAATTAAAGCTACATTTGCAATAAAGTATGATAAGCAGTGTGATACGGGGAAGGAACAAGGTACTGTGGGAGTAAATGATAGTGTATTTAACCCAGACTGGAGGGGAGAGGTGTTGATAGGAGAAGGTTGTCAAAGAGAGGCTGTTTGGAGGAGGTAATGGTTAAGCTGGACCAGCCGGATAAAGAGGATGAGCTGAGAGTCTATACCAGACTAATGAATTGGCACAAATGAAAAGCAGAAAGTGAGAAAGAGAAAGGTACGTGTGAACATGTGAGGAAAACCTCAGTCTGTCAGAGCAAAGAATAGAGCTAGAGATGAGAAAGGGGCTGGAATGGTAAGCAGGGCCACATAATGTAGAGGCTGTTAAGCCAGGTGTTATTCCAAGGGCACCAGGAAGCTCCTGAAGGAATTGAAACAGGTGAGCAGTATGGTCAGCGCTGTTTTAGGACAGGTAGTCTGGTGGCAGTGTCAAGACTGGACTTGAGATAGCAAGCCTAGAGGCAGGGAGACTGGTTTGGAGGCTGTTACCGTATTGCAGATGAGCGATAATGGTGTCTTGAATTAGGGCAGTGAGAGTGATAGTGGAGAGAAGTGGAAGAATTTGTTAAATATTAGTTAGTCTTCATGAAAATCTGTAATTCTGTTATAGTTGTAGTGCCACTGGCTTCAAGTTTAGTAAAATATATGTTTTGAATAAAGACTTTGTCCATGAGTTAAAAGTATTTTCATAACTTAAATCTCCAAATGTATAGTCTTTTATTTTCAGATATGTTGTATACTAGAGACCAAGGTAAAATATTCTCTTTAAATTTGATATTTTTAAAAAATAATTGTTTTTTTACTGTGGAATTTCTTTCAGACGATTTCAACTGCCAGTGAACTGCGCAAGCCAATTTACTGGATTGTAGCTGGTAAAGCCATTGATTATGAGCAAATGCTGCTTCTAATGGCTAATGTGAAATGGGATGTAAAGGAAATTATGTCCCAGCACAACGTATATGTAGATGCACTGCTAAAGGCAAGTACTCTTGGACTTTGTTGGAGATCATTCTAGTAAGAGATTTCCAATAATTGCAATAGCTCTAAAATATTAAGATTATAGTTATCAGCACATTCTGGCATCATGATAGTAGTTCAAGTCCCTGGGTTGGAATGGACTTACTTTCTGAATTTTGTGTTTTTTTTAGGTCCAAGAATACTTTGCGAATTTTTCTTTATGCCTGCTAATGTTTCATATTAAGTTAGAGTTTATTACATTCCATGGCTGATTGTCAAATTGTGTAATCCAGTAGTCATGACTCTAGTGACATCATCCAGTGTGGTTCATGCACTGATACCGGTTCTGGTGGTATGGTTGTTAATTAAGGGACTTACACGTCCGCAAGGAGCTCTGGTAGCATAGTGCCTAAGGTACTTGACTGCTAACCAGAAGGCTGGTGGTTCAAACCCACCAGCCGCTCCTCAGAAGGAAGATGGGACAGTCTACTTCCCTAGTGATTCTGCCTCAGAAACCCAAGGAGGGGGCACTATGAGTCGGGTCTGACTCGAGGGCACATAATGACAACAACAACAACACATCTGCAGGGAATTTACATGCCAGGGTGGAGACAGTGCTAAACACATAAATGAGATATTATATGTCAGGTTATGGTTAGTGCTGATGGGAAAAAAAAGCAGAAGAGGGATAGAAAGTGACAAGAAAGAGTGGGAGAGGGATACCAATTATTAACTGGGGTCAGAGAAGGACTCTGATAAAAAGACAGTTGAGGAGCAGCCTAAAGGAAGTTAGGAAATGAGTCATGTGGCTATCTGGGGTGTGAAAAGTACATTGGAGAAAATACAGGTAGCATTCAGAAGAAATTTGTTTTTAATTTTTGTCAGTGAAAAGAAAATTGGCCCTTCTTGAACTCCTGACTGTATCTCATTTATTCTAGCTTTCTTATTTGCTTAGTCCAAGGCAATGTAATAGCCTGGGACATTTGAATTCCAATAATTCCAATAAACAAAGCAATGGGAGCTCTGGTAGCATAGTGCCTAAGGCACTTGACTGCTAACCAGCAGGCTGGCAGTTCAAACCCACCAGCCACTCCTCGGAAGGAAGGTTGGGCAATCTACTTCCATAGTGATACTGTCTCGGAAACCCAAGGAGGGGTTCCTATGAGTCAGATGCGACTCAATGGCACATAACAACAACAACAACAAGCAAAGCAATAGATTAAAAGAAATAGCAGCATTCCATCTACTATGTCAACTCCAGTCAACTGGCGGTACTCTTCTGGAGGGCCAGGTAGAAGACTGTGAGGGTATGCCCTGATGCAAGCGACATAGTACCAAGCTCTGGTAGCATAGTGGCTAAGACACTTGCCTGCTAACCAGACGGCTGGCGGTTCAAACCCACCAGCCACTCCTCGGAAGGAAGGTTGGGCAATCCTACTTCCGTAGTGATACTGCCTCGGAAACCCAAGGAGGGGTTGCTATGAGTCGGGGCCGACTCGACGGCATATAACAACAACAGGAGTCAGCAGGAGACCCAATGGGTGAGTGACACCAAGGGTTTCTATATTTGCCACCCATTGAAATACTAGGAAGAAATTTGATTTCTTGAGCACTCAGGATATTTCAGTATGGAATTTTAATGTTGAATTTGGAGCTTCCTGGGTGGCACAAACCATTAAGCATTTGACTATTATCTGAAAAGTTGGTGGTTCGAACACACCCAGAGGCACCTAGCCATCTACTTCCATGAGGTCACAACCTTGAAACCCCTGTGGAGCACTTCTCTGCATATATGGTCTCACCATCAGTCAGAATTGACTCAACAGCAACTAATAACAACAACAACAGAAATGTCTAATTTAACAGATAAAAAGGTAATATAAATATTACCTCTTAACAATTCTGTTTTTAAAAGTTGATTCTGTTTTTTTGACATGCAAACCATGGTAATCAGTGATCAAGAAAAAAAGACTTCTACACTCAGCAAATATATATACTAGAAGGAACCTACTCATTTCATTTATTCTTAATTCCAAGATATATGAATTTATAATAGTATATATTATTCAGATTATTAGCCTGAACTCAATTTATAGCACTTAAAATAGTCCTTCATAAAGGTTAATATTTAGTGAAAACTTTTCTTCTTTCTATTACTATCCAAAGCCAAACATTTTGGTGAAAGGAAATCTGTTTTTGTTTCCACAAAAGAATCTGAAGTAAAATGAAAGATTTTTTATTATTCATTTAATAATACGCTGTCTTGAATATTTAATTTAGTAGTTAAATTAGTAGAATACCATTTTATAAAGAAAGCTTATAACTTTATCTTTAAGAGAAACCTTATTAAAATAAAATATTAATATTAATGAAAAAAGTTATGTCATGACTCTTGAAATCCAAAGCAGAGTTTACTGTCGGGAGTGTATAAATGCAGTAGCAAATATAGTTTGTCTTTGGCATTCATGAAATGAGCCAACATATGAACAGCAGTTATTAAACTGTTATTTTCATAGGTAAGTTTACTGACCGCCACTCACGTGTCGGTTTGTTACACTGTGAGGTCTTGCATGTTGCTGTGATGCTGGATGCTATGCCACCAGTAATTCAAATACCAGTAGAGTCACCCATGTGGACAGAGCTTCCAGACTAAGACAGGCTGGGAAGAAAGGTCTGGAGATCCATTTCTAAAAAAAAAAGTGGCCAGTGAACACCTTATGAACAGCAGTGGAACCCTGTCTGACACAGTGCTGGAAAATGAGCCCTCAGGTTGGAAGACCCTCAAAATATGACTAGGAAAGAGCTGCCTCCTCAAAGTAGAGTTGACCTTAATGACGTGAGGATGGGGTAAAGAGTTTGGGGCCTTTATTTGCTGGTGTGGCACAACTCAAAATGAGAAGAAGCAGCTGTAAACATCCGTTAATAATAGGAATGTGGAATGTATGAATGTGGAAGTGTGAATCTAGGAAAATTGGAAGTCCTCAAAAATGTAATGGAACACAAAGATTGATATCCTAGGCATTAGTGAGCTGAAATGGACTGATAATGACCGTTTTGAATTGGGCAATCATATGGACTACTTTGCCAAGAATGTCAAAAAGAAATGGCATTGCATTTATCATCAAAAAGAATATTTCAAGATCTATTCTGAAGTACAGTGTTACCAGTGATACAATAATATGCCTACAAGGAAGACCAGTTAATACTAGGTTATTCAAATTTATGTACCAGCCACAAATGCTAAAGGTGAAGAAATTGAAGATTTTTTACCAACTTCTACGGTCTGAAATTGATCAAATATGCAATCAAAATGCTTTGATAATTACTGGTGGTTAAAAAGTTGGAAACAAAGAAGGATCAATAGTTGAAAAATATGGCCTTTGTGATAGAAAGAATGCCAGAAATTTCATGACAGAATTTTGCGAGACCAATAACTTACTCATGGCAAACGTTTTCAACAACATGCCTGGTGACTATACAAAAGGGCCTCACTGGATGTAATACACAGGAATCAAATAAACTACATCTGTGGGAAGAGGCTATGGAAAAACTCATTATTATCAGTCAGAACAAGGCCAGGGGATGACTGCAGAAAAAACAGTTGCTCATACGCAAGTTCAAGTTGATGCTGAAGAAACAAGGCTGTGAAAGCCAAAGTATGACCTTGAGTATATACCACCTGAATTTAGAGATCAACTTGAGGATAGATTTTATGCATTGAACACTAATGACTGAAAACCAGATGAGTTGTGGGATGACATCAAGGACATCATACATGAAGAAAGTAAAAGATCATTAAAAAGATATGAAGGCAAGAAAAGACCAAAATGGATGTCATAAAAAGCTCTGAAACTTGCTCTTCAACATAGAGTAGCTAAAGCAGATGGAAAAAATGATGAAGTAAAAGAGCTGAACTGAAGATTTCAAAGGATAGTTCAAGAAGACAAAGTAAAGTATTAAAATGTGCAAGACCTGGAGTTAGAAATCCAAAAGGGAAGGACATGCTTGGCGTTTGTGAAGCTGAAAGAACTGACGAATAAATGTAAATCTTGAGTTACAATATCGAAAGATTTTGTAGGCAAAATATTGAACAATGTGGGAAGCATCAGAAGAAGATAGAAGAAATACACAGAATCACTGTACCAAAAAGAATTAGTTGATGTTCATCCATTTCAGGAGGTAGCATATGATCAAGAACTGTGGTATTGAAGGAAGAAGTCCAAGCTGTACTAAAGGAATTGGTGAAAAATAAGGCTGCAGGAGTTGACAGAGTACCAATTGAGATGTTTCAACAAATGAACCCAGTGCTGGAAGCACTCACTCGTCTATGCCAGAAAAAATTGGAAGACAGCTACTTTGTCAGCCAGCTGGAAGAGATCTATATTTGTGCCCATTCCAAAGAAAGGTGATCCCGTGAATTGTGGAAATTATTCAAAGAATATCATTAATAGCACATGCAATTAAAATTCTGCTGAAGATGATTCAAAAACTCTTGCAGCAATATATTGACAGGGAACTTCCAGAAGGTCAAGCTGGATTCAGAAGAGGATGTAGAATGAGGGATATCATTGCTGATACCAGAGGGATCTTGTCTGAAAACACAGAATACCAGAAAGATGTTTACCTGTGTTTTATTGACTATACAAAGGCATTCAACTGTGTAGTTTAATTATGGATAATGTTACAAAGAACGGGGATTCTAGAACAGTTAATTGTGCTCATGTGGAACCTGTACATAGACTAAGAAGCAGTTGTTCAAGTAGAATAAGGGGATATTGCATTGTTTAAAATCAGGAAGGGTGTGCATCAGGGTTGTATCCTTTCACCATATTTATTCGATCTGTTGAGCAAATAATCCTAGAAGCTAGACTATATGAAGAAGACACAGCATCAAGAGTGTAGGAAAATTCATTAGCAACTTTGCTTGCTGAAAATGAAGAGGACTTGAAGCACTTACTGATGAAGATCAAATACTGCAACCTTCAGTTTGGATTACACCTCAACATAATAAAACAAAAGTCCTCACAACTGGACCAATAAGTAACACCTTGATAAACAGACAAAATACTTAAGTTGTCAAAGATTTCATTTTAGTGAATTTACTCTCAGTGCCCATGATAGCAGCAGTCAAGAAATCAAACAGTGTATTGCATTGGACAAAACTGCTGCAAAAGACCTCTTTGGCAAACATGTCACTTTGAGGACTAAGATGCATCTGACCTGAGCCATGGTATTTTCAATTACTTCATGTCTGTGTGAAAGCTGGATAATGAACAAGGAAGATGGAAGAACAATTGATGACTTTGAATTTTGATGTTGGTGCAGAATATTGACTATACCATGGACTGCCTAAAGAACAAACAAATCTGTGTTGGGAGAAGTACAGCCAGAATGCTCCTTTGAAGCAAGGATGTCAAGACTTCGTTTCATGTCACCTATTTTGGACATGTTATAAGGAGGGACTAGTTCTTGGAGAAGGACATCATACTCTGTGAATTAGATGGCCAGCGAAAAAGAGGAAGATCCTGAATGAGATGAGTCGACACCATGGCTCCAGCAGTGGGCGCAAGCATAGCAAATGATTGAGCAGATGGTGCTGGGCCAGCAGTGTTTCTTTCTGTTGCATGTAAAGTTGCTATCTGTTGGAAGTGACTCGAGGGCTCAGAACAACAATAACAAGCTTAGTAAATTGAAGATACACTTCCTTTCTGTCATTAATTAGAAACAATTAACTGTCAAAAATAAATCCATAAGAAAAACTGTGATTTAGGAAGCTTCTCAAAGCTCAAAAGAATGACACAGTTATCATTATGTGCTAACTTGACTAGTGGTCATCAGAATAGTTTTCTTCTTTTTCTCCCCAAGTTCATTATTATAAAATTTGAGCATATATCATTCTTGACTTGCTGAATATTGTATAGCTTCTCTCTTCAATAAACTAGAGAAAAATATTATTTTAAGCCTTCTTAGATTTATTTGAAATACATTGTCAAGGAACAGCCAACAGCATTTATTTTTTTATAAATGACCAGAACGTATTATTGAAGGGTGAACCATCTGCTACTGTCATGTAATTATTAGAATTGTTTAAATTAGGCATATGTGTTTTTATTTTTAGTACAGTGATGTAAAAGTTACTAATAGATAAAAATGTTCAGCTTTCTATAAGTAATAGAAAATAGTTTATGCTTTTATATTCCTTTGTACAAAAACTTTGCAGCTGTATGAAGATGTTGGAATCCCTCAATATATAATAATTTATTTTCTTTGGTATACTTTACCTGTCACACTAAATCCTAATTATCTTTTTGTTTTGTTTTCTTTGATTCTGAGTCTTTCTAAATCATCTTCTTTATTAGTTTAGTGAGAAATCAGTGTAACATTATAATGATATTTATATATGGTCCTGATTTTTGTCTTCTTTAGGAATTTGAACAGTTTAACAGAAGGTTAAATGAGGTTTCTAAGAGAGTCCGGATACCCTTGCCTGTGTCTAATATACTTTGGGAACATTGTATCCGACTGGCCAACAGAACTATTGTGGAAGGGTAAGTTCTTCATGAAAGCATTATCTATTTCTTAAATGATAATTTATAATATATGAATAACATTATATGCTATCACTACTACTGGATGGGGAGATTAGGTAGAAGGAATAATAAATAGCCATCAATCCCGTAATAATTCAGGTTTGACTTTGGAATATAATTGGAGAGAAAACCTTAAAGTGCACTATGCCTGCCCTTTTCTTTTCTTACTGATGACCTAGAGCCACCTCTTAGATGAATGAAGAATGAGGTATTGGATGTTTATCTGACAGTTAACCTAATAATAAATCCTATCACCTAATTTTGATGGTGGTGATTATGCATAACATTTATTGAGCACCAATTAATTATGTATCGTTTATTAAACCAAACACTTCAAAGGATTATGTCACCAAATCCTAACAAACTCTCTTTGATAGGTACTATTGTTATCTTTATTTTATTGTTACCTGGGATAATTTAGCTTCAGAAAGAGATTACATAACTTGTCCAAGTTCATACAGTTTTTCAGGGCAGAAAAGGCACACGGACTCATGATTTTCTTAGGCTGAAATCAGTTCTCCTAATGACTGTGTCACAGCTAACAATAATTGTCTCATTATAAAAGATACAAATCTTTCATATGTTGGGTTCACAAGCTATTAATAATAATTTTCCCACTTACCAGAGACCATGCTTTTTGTGCTCGTAATATCCAGAACACAAGTAATAAACTGTAATACAATGGACATATTCCTGAAAAGCAAACATCTATCTCAGAGACCACACACAGTGACCTAGAATTGCACCTCAATTGAATTTTCATATGACTTTTGATCTGATTTCTCTTCAGCTCTTGATTGTTATAGAAAAGAATGTATTAGAAAGAAGGAAGGAAATGGTGATAAGCTGACAAGCTGATAGGCACTTACCTATTAAAACAGTGGTAAAAATTGCAAAATGGCTGGCTCTGTGTCAGCGATCATTACAAACAAGTATTAGTAAGTTTGTTTGATAGAGAACTGTATGATATTTGTTACATTTTGGTCCAAATACTTTTTTATAAAAGAAAATATTTGGTCCCTTTAAATAATAAAAGCTTTAATGTCCTTGCAAATTTCCTTTGGCAGATTCCCTAACATTAAATTTTCTAGGTTTTATGTGATTGAAGGAATGAGACACTTATTATGAGGAATACATGTTATATATATTGTATGGTTAATATATTTACTTTTATTTCTAGTGCACCTTAAAACCAGCAGTATTTCATCAGTGTGGGTTGTGAGAATAAGTCTTTAAAGTGTTTTATTCAGACAAAAATATATATTCTATATGCTTATATGTCTGCATGTTTACTGAATGTTCGTGGGGGCGTAATTTCATTTATTTCTTTTGCATTGAGTATTAACAGTCTTAGGAAATCAAGATTACTTTGGATTATTCATAGCTTAATTTATAAATTATTCTTGTCAGGCAGATCAACTGGATTAGCAGTTTAACTTTCTTACAGATCATTATGCTTATTGGGTGTAAGGAACTGTGGTCTTTAGAGAGACAAAGACCCTTAGAAGTTGCTCTGTCTCTTTACTTTTCAGATGAGGACACTGAGGCCCAGATAGGTAAATGACAGCTGAGTGACAAGGCTTGGACACAGCTCTTTGTCCTGTTGTCTTTTCATTTCTAAAGAATGTGTCCAAATAGGGGTTAGAGAATAGGACTGAATTCTGGGGTGTGTGGTTGGATTATTTTTTAAAAGTACTTAAAGGTTTCTTTACTTAACCAAGCCCTCCTTTATTATTTATTATTATGTATCTTAGATATGCCAATGTCAAGAAATGTAGTAATGAGGGTCGTGCCTTGATGCAATTGGATTTTCAACAGTTTTTAATGAAACTTGAAAAACTAACAGATATTAGACCCATTCCTGATAAAGAATTTGTGGAAACTTATATTAAAGCCTACTACCTGACTGAGAATGACATGGAACGCTGGATCAAAGAGCACAGGGTAAGAGCTGGGAAACAGTTAATTAAGTTTTTATTCCTTTTCCTTTGTGTCTGGTTTATATATATATACATATATATATATGTTATTCAGACTCATGAAAGTGAAATATAAAGATGAATTTGCTTTCTTAGCATAAGTTATTTAGGCCAGTTCATTACCACATTCAGATTGTGCTTTGCCCTTTTCCTAATCAAATTCTTTTGATCCTTTTGTGAACTGTAGCAGTACTTACCTGGAGACAGAGCCAAAGTCCCAACATTGACTGCATTTATTCTATGACTGTGTTGTAGTAAAAGGCTGAAGTTGGTTAACATCAAGATAAATCGAATATAGCAACATTGAAAACTTTCATAAACTAAACTGTTACATGCTGTAAACCTTCTTGTACCCCTCAACCACTGAAATGTGATGTTCTGAATACATTTACATGCATTAGTGACAATTGAAGGTATTATTTAACTGATTCAATTTAACTTGTGTCTATGATTAGATCTTACCTTTAATAATGATATGATTATTTTATGTGGATATAGAGATTAAGTAGAGGAAAATACTATTTATTAAGTGATATTTAGAATAGTGACTGTATGACATCGTTCAGTTCAGCATATATCACCTGAGCATACCTGGTATGGGGGGCTTTCTGTATGATTGTTACATCATTTGTCTAGATTAGCAGTCTATGAAGACGGATTTAATGGAAATATAAAAAAACCAAAACAAACTCACTGCCGATCAAGTCTATTCGACTCATGGTGACCCTTCCTTAGGTTTCCGAGGTGGTGTCTCTACAGAAGTAGATTGCCCAGTCTTCCTTCTGAGGAGTGGCTGGTGGATATGAACCGCCAGCCTTCTGGTTGCCAGTCAGATGCCTTAAACACTACTATGCCACCAGATGGAGCACATTAAAATCATCACCAAATTGCATTACTTTAACTTTGGTATTCACAGTTACTTAGGGTATAAAAATCATGAGTAAAAGCTAAGTAACATTATTTCATTTGACTAGGTAAGGAAATAAGGAATTATTTGCATTTACTTTATCAGGCTCATCTTTGTTTATTTCAGCAAGCAAGGAAAATGAAATGAGCAGTGTTGTTGTTTGTTGTGTGCCATTGAATCAATTCTAACTCTTAGTGACCCAGTAAGTTTCCAGGCTGTCATCATTACGGAAGTCGACTTCCACATCTTTCTCTCACAGAATGGCTGATGGGTTCACATTGGTTAGCAGCTGAGTGCTTAATGTTTGTGCCACCACAGTTCCTGCAAAAAGGAAATGGGGGTGGCATCCTTCTCTTACCTCCTCTAACTTCATGAGAGGGAAGGAAAATCACCATCAGCAGCCCAAGGCTGATTCCTCTGAGGCAGAAGTCAGACATGCCACCACCCTCTGACCTTCTTACCAGCTCTGACACCAACAGTCCTCTCTCTCTGCTTCTCTACTAAGTTTGATTATTCATTGCAGTGGCCATACAAACTCAGAGACAATACTCACAATGTTGGGGGTTTATAAGGGAAATAAGAGATTACTATTCAGGTTCAGGAACACATAGGATATGGTTCTTCTATCGGGACAGCCTCCTCTCTGCCATGCCCACAGGCATGCTGCTCTTGGGCTTTCGGCCTCTTGGTCTGGCCTCTGCCCTGCTCAGACATGTTAAAAGGCTCTTTTAGCTCTGTTGATAGGTGCACCTAAGTTCACCCCATTCCATCAGCAAACCTCCTGCCAAAAGGCACTCTGCTTTCTCACTCTGTGGGCCGGCAAGCCTGCTGTTCTGTTTCATGCTGGTCTTTCAGTTCTGCCTCTGTTGCTGTGGTTTCTCTCCCTGTCATTTGTCTGCTGTAATCTCAGTGCAGGGATCTTGGGTCCAAGGACGAGCTCCATTGTTGGCTCTTCTCTGTCTTGATGGTAGTGAGATACCCCTTTTTGCCTCTAGGATGGCTTATGTTAAGCCTAGCAGAATGGCAAAACTGATGCATCCCTGCTTTAGAGTTCCATACACCTTAGTTCCTTGGTTCCACCCCACAAGGGTGCCATGTACCTCATTTACATTACTAACAAGCTATCCAGTCCCCTTGATGGACTACAAGCACCTTACATTGTATAGTTCCACCCAGTCGTATGGTGGGACTCACAAAGACCATGGTTAGAAGAGTCATACTAAGTAATTCACTGTACCACAGCTCCTTAGCCTGGAACATTTGCTTATGTTTACTGTAAATGTGCCCACAGTAGGCAGTTTCAGATCTTTGGAAAGGAAGTTGAATTGTTTGAGTTATTTTCACTGATTTTGATTAAAACCAGAACTAAGGAAAACTTCACACCTTTAATCTCACCAACCTCTGATATTTGAGAATGAAAATGTTAAAATCGGGTATAGATAGACTGCTGAATGTTGTCAGAATCCACTTGGTGAAGTAAGCTGTAAACATTTCAGAGTTGCTATTGAGGAAAGGATTTGGGGCAAGAATGTAAAGTAGCTGAGGAGAAACCGCATAGCTTGTAAGTACCCATTATTTGATGGAAGAACCATGCCCATTTTGGGGTTTCCTCTTTCAATATAGTGGAGGAACATTTTAACTTAGTATTTTGAAAGAACTTTTAACTAATTGGTATCTGTAATTTGGTGAAGTTTTTCCAAAGGCAGGGGACTCTTGTCTGTTTCCTAGGGAATCTGCCCACGATGACTAGTCTAGTTAGTATTCAGTGATTACGGATGTCCATCAGGTGTTGAGGGATTAAATGAAATATATTTCCTGGGTGAGGAGGAATGCTCTCAGAGTGCAGATACACAAACAGTGATTTTCTGGGTTTTTTTAATATGAACTTTATCATATTTTGAAATTTTAGTTTCCCTTAATGGTTACCTCCAGTGAAGACAGATTTTCTCTTATTATTAGGTGACAGTATACAAAATTATCCTTCCGTATATGAATTCCTGGTATTCGAACCCCAGGACCAAATCATTGTGCAAAAGTTTTCTTATGAATCCCTATTTATTCTAACTGTAGCAACTCATCTTCTGAAATTCAGGAGCCAAATGGATTTGGATAGTGAAAGATACTAAGAATTTTGCTTCTTAGCCATCAGTTTCAATATGAGTGTTTATGAAATAGTAACTTTCTGATCCATGTGACCTAATTCACTTATTTTCTCTAATAGGAGTTGTTGGATATCTTTAAAGTATTTTAGGTGTTTTGCTGTTGTTGAGAATTTACACAGTCAAACATACACAATTTCAACAGTTTCTACGTGACAATTGATGACGTTCTTTCAATTATACAACCATTCTCATGCTAATTTTCTGAGTTGTTCTCCCCCATTAGCATAAATTCATTGCCCTCTAAGATTTCTGTCTAATCTTTTAAGTTGGCTATTGTTGATTTGATCCTATATGTTGTTGTTATGTGCCCTTGAGTCGGACCTGACTCATAGCGACCCCACCTTGGGTTTCTGAGGCAGTATCACTACAGAAGTTGATCACCCAACCTTCCTTCCGAGGAGCGGCTGGTGAGTTTGAACCTCCAGCCTTCTGGTTAGCAGTCAAGTGCCTTAGGTACTACGCTACCAGAGCTATAGATCATTCTTAATAGAGCTTAGTGCCCAAAGCAGACATTTTTACTAGTTAAGCTAAATCTTGTTTGGTTTTAAGAAGATTTTAGGGGATGTTTTGTTACAAGGCTTAAAGGTTATCTCAGGGCAAATAGTTTTGGAGGTTCATCCAGCCTCCATAGCTCCAGAAAGTCTAGATTCCATGAGAGTTTGAAGTTCTGCTCTGTGCATTTCCCTTTTGATCAGGACTGTGCTGTAAAATCTTTGATCAAAATGTTGAGTAATTGTAGGCACTATGCAGTTCTTCTCACCTCAGGGGAAAGGAGCAGTTTGTCCAGGGAGGCAGTTAGCTACATAGTCCATATCTTCCACCTATACCTCACTCTCTTTCTTCCTTTGTTGTTGTTATGTGCTGGCGAGTTGGACCTGACTCATAGCGACCCTTCCTTGGGTTTCTGAGGCAGTTTCACTACGGAAGTAGATTGCCCAACCTTCCTTCCAAGGAGTGGCTGGTGGGTTTGAACTGCCAACCTTCTGGTTAGCAGTCAAGTGCCTTAGGCACTACGCTACCAGAGCTCCTTCTTCCTTTGTTACTCCAGGCAAATGGAGAGCAATTATTGTACATTGGGTAGCTACTTGCAAGCTTTTAAGATGTCAGGCACCACGCAGTGAACTAGGAGGTAGAACAGAAACAGTGAACACATTATTAGACCAATTAACTGAGATGCCCCCTGAAACCAAGGAACCAGATCCCATGAGGTTTTTGGTGATTTCTGAAATTTTTACCTATAGTGTTTACAAAATGCAGAGTGCCAGAAAATATTTGTTAGGATTTTAAAAATGTGAAATGTCTATATTTTGATAATAGCAGAGTCATCACAGAGGCAAGTGTACAGTGTGTGATCTTCAAAGTAATGAAAAGCATAAGCATGTTGGATTACTCAGCTATGTGAAAGCAGATTTCTGCAGCTTCCTGTTTCAGATCTATAGCACATATGCTTACTCCGTTTTTATAGCTTGGTTAACAATGTGTCGTCCATGTCCCAACTGTAACTTTCAGTGCTTTTTATCCACTGGCACCTGAGTATGCATGTACCTGTTCTTTTGTTGCATGGAGCAGATACATGGCTTTGAATGTGCTGAATGTGGATCTTCTTTCTTTGAGCAGGAGTATTCAACAAAGCAGCTGACCAATCTGGTGAATGTTTGCCTGGGATCCCATATCAATAAGAAAGCAAGACAGAAACTTCTGGCAGCTATCGATGATATCGACAGACCCAAAAGATAATAAACACAGCTTTTTCCTCAATGGCGTTGATCTTCTCTAAACCTATATGACGTGAAAGCCAGTTTTTCATGTACTCCCGACGACTGTCTGCTAAGAAACTTGTGCATGTTCTTTCCTCTTGGAAAGTGGAAAACATCTACGTTTGTGTGGTATTTTCAAATGATTTTTATATGCTCTGGTCATTTCTCTTTAACTTTTGATCTCATTTGTTGTAATCCCTTCCTGTATTGTTGCCCCATCAATAGCTATTGTTATGTGACTACAATGATAATGTTTACAGAAAAATGTAACTTAAATATAAAATTAAAAGGAATGGTGGCTTACTATATCCATGGGCAGTTTTTGGAGAAAGAATTTCAATGAAAATATGTTGGCAATTTGCTACCCGCTGAACTTTGTTCTTAATAAGCATAATACGAAAGGATAATGTACAGTACCTCCTAATTATGACCACTGCACTGCATGAGCATTAAAAAGTGTACGTCAGAAAATTCACTGTGTTCTCTGTGTTTTAAAATGTCAAAGTTTATGTCACAGTCAATTTGGCCATAACAAAGTGATCATAAATGGTGAAATTTAATAAATATTATGCTCTAATATGACCAGACTATGTGAGATTGCTTTTTGATATTTTTCACATGGCTGGCAGATTTCGTGAAACTATGTAGTAATGGATTTTTTTTTTTTTGGTGTGTACTAATTTTAATGATCTTCTACCCTGAAACCAATGGTGAAATGTAATTTTACTTAGTGTACATTTTCAATTCCTGAGTAGCACACAGAATGGTGATTGTGGGATTTTCATTTTCTTTTCTTTCTTAAAATATAAACATTTTTCATATAAGCTTTGCTCCCTCTGAATCTTCCGTCTGAGAACAGCAAAATTTGGCTGACTCAGGGGAAAAACTGTCAGTTACTCAAGCATAAGTACAGTCACCTGTTCGCCTTTTCAACATTGTACTGCAGATGTGAGTTTAACTACTGGTGAGCACTGGAACTCAGTTGGTCTCTGGTAACTGTGGACTGCTGTTCTGAATTCTGAAGCCAAGGATCTTTTCTCAACATACATGACATATATGAAAACCAAGGTCCCATGTTCTCTGGAAAGGAATTTCTGTCGATGTTCTCTCCAACTGGAAAGTGGAAGACATCTAAACTTGTGTGATATTAGTCCAGTGATTACCAAGCATGACATGTAACATCACCAGCTCATGGAATCCTGAAGCATCACATGAGAAACAGGCCTGCAATTATGTGAGTCTTCTGAGTATTGAAGTGCTGACATGGAGGGCAAAGGGTGGCATGTGATCAGGCAGGTGGTGAGCAGACCATTGCTGCTCAGTGTTCCTCAGTCCCTGAAGATGTCCATAACCATGATGCTAAAATGTGAAACACTTATCTAATATGTCTGTGTGTGTGTGTGTGTGTGTGTGGAGAATTGCTTGTGTCCAACCTCTCACTTTGAAGTATTTACTATCAATGTAATATTGACAGTTAAACTTCCCTCTTATACAAAGATAGGAGTTTGGTTCCGTTTTTGATCTACTTGTAGTACTAGATGTGTGTTTATAAAGTCGATTCTTGCCTGTAGCCATTATCTGTAGGAAATCACTTAAAGAAAACTAATAAGCATGGTTCTAGTGTTTAAATGACACAGTCAGTTGGGTGCTTATTTATTTATCAGTTCTTACTTATTTCTCAGTTGATTAGGAGTGGTTTCTTTTTTGCATGGATTTTTATAGTTGGCTTCCTTTCATTTCTGCCTTACGCTCTTAACAGTATGAATAGCAGTTGCCTGCCTGGTAGAGGACAGTGTTTTCCAGGGTTAATAGTAATTGTTATGGATGAATTTTGTATTTTATTAGAGACTCGACCATGCAGTCTGACAGTCATTTTAACTTACCCATACTTCTGCTTTCTTCATCTTCAGAATAAAAGTTGTAAGTCTCTTATAGATGCTTTTAAGAAAAGTTTTCTTTTGCAATAAAAGATAGCTTAGTATATGGTAACATCAAAACAAGAACAGCAGATTTGAAACATGAAATTCCATAGTGACAAGAGTTAGACATTTCTCAAATGTGTTATGCAATGATACTGAATTATAACCATACACTATTTTGTGAAACTAATTTTAAGATAAATGGAATTGAAAAGCTGAGAATCTCAATTGAATTATACATGTGCCAAGAACTTTACTATTATCAAATATTTCTTTTTCAATCAGGTTTTTTTTTTTTTTTTTTTTTTTTTTTT